TTCGTTAACCAATTTTTCAGCAGGCGATTGACGTGATAATCCATAGGAGTATCTGTTGGCGAATAGGGGGGCCGCAGAAGCAGATTCCATTCCTTGTTCGGCTTTGATTGACTGTTCCATTGCCGACAGTTGTTGAGATCACGTTATGAGTGGGCCGCCTTCCAACATTTCTCGAAATAATAGAGCATAATTTGGCCTATATAGCATAATAAGGCGTATATGAAGATAACTTTCGAGACATATTTCTGTTAAGGAAAGCGAGAAGATTATTTCTACAAAAATCCCGAGTCCGCAAGTTTAATTTTATCGAGTGAAAAGAAGCCGCGAAAAAAGCCGCAATAATTATGCGTCAACCTAATATGAAGGCTAGAGCAAGATGATAGTAGCAATATTCCACGGATGTATGGCTCCTAAGGCTGCATATCACTCGTTACATGGAGCTTTTGACATTACGCAACGGATGAAGGGTAAAGGACAAAGTCCTTCGGCGTTGATCAATCCCGTCTAAGATATTCGCCCCCGCATTTCACTTCCATTCGGATCATTGTGGCGTATGAAAGGCGTATGAGGACTATATACAATGAAGTGCCATGGCCAGCCGATGTTTAAGTCAGTGCTTTTATCTTTCCAAGCGACTCTGCTAGCAATTGGCCGATTCCCTAAGGGAGGAAGGCTTGTTTCGCCTAGCTGATGTCATTCCAGAGTTCGAACCCGTGACCATGCGTGTGTGATGGTGCGCCCCATGCCCCACCTCCACAATATTCAAGCAAGAGTGTTTTCTTTGAAAAACTGCTTATTAAAGGGACATTCTTTAGTCAATGAATTTGGTATTTAGAACATGATCACGGCAATGTTGTTCTGGACGTCTCTAGTTCTGGTTCTGCAGTCGTCGCTTGCTGCCTGTCTGACTTCCGTGGTTCGCGTGTATAAAACCTGGATGACTATAAACGACGTGGTGGCAACGCCGGCTGAACTTCGTGCTTATCTTAAAAAGGAGCAAATCGAGAAACACAACCAACTAATCTATCATGCAAAAACAGAGTGAACATATGTCTCATCTTCATGTCATTAATGCTTATTGGCTCTACAGATAGCTTTCTTACTTTGCTATGTTATCAAAACATTCTTCATGGTTCGTTTATTTTTCGATTCCGACCTAGGCAAACGTAAAACAAGTCGTGGTCAGACCGACATGTGCACATCGTTGTGGCACCTCTTCAACGGAAGATCCCAATCAAGGCTGATCCACAACTTTCTTTAAATCTATATTTATTAAATATTTACATAGTCTTGTGAAAAGAGTGAAGTTGATTAGAAAAGACAAATTATTGAGGAACACTCAGAGGTTCAGGAATGATGAAGGACAATTAGTATTGAGAATCATCGCGGTGTATTACTATATGGACGGTATTTAGTACATTGAGGGATTCAATTAAAGCAGGTTTCACTGTGTGTAGGATTTATTAGTTGGTTAGAGAATCACAATTATGATTTCAAACACCCTGAGCTCAGAGATGAGTTTTCAAAAAGGAGCAAACATCCGCTATGATATCCCTCTTGACCGAACTACGCGGAATACTGCATACACCATGACATGCTGTTTTGTAATGCTTCCATTCACAGGGAACTTTCTCCTTTTGCAGTTTCTTGGCGTACTGAATTGCTTCATCTCTGGAAGAAATGCATGTATGACACACCGACAACAAAATCCTGGAAGTTGTAGAACTTGGAAGTTGGAAGGGGGAATTTTTGGATTTCCTTCTAATTTTGGATTTTTTTTGGATTTCTTTGGGTAAAATTTTTTACTTGTTTGTAGTCACTCCTGGGTATACCCTGTGTTGCAGAAAATTTTGTATAAAATCTATTACGGTTTTGGAGAATTCCCATATTTGCCGCACCATGATGACCCTTTTCTAAGACCCGGACTTGGGCAGTTCGACCTTCATTTGCATGGCCACATTTAGATAGGTTTCAGAATAATCTGAAACGACAATGTGTCTAATAACAATTGAGCTATTCTATTAGTTGGGCACAGTTGCAAATGATTTTCTAACTACACATAAATACAGGTACAAGGGCGAGTCATTCTAAGGGATCGACCATTACCAGCTTTTTCCCTAATTCGAACCCCCTTCCAAGAAGCACCAGCCACTCACCTCAAAACATCAAACTCGGCAGAGACAACCAGTGCTGGAGGCAGATCGTCCCGCACTCCAAATAGAGGAGAAACGTCCGGATCAGATCCTTTAGTAGCAAAAGCTTGCAGCTGAATTTTCTCATCCTAAAGTAGTTCAAGATATTGCCCATGACTGGTAGGATGATTTGACATCTGTTTTCTGATGAATATTAGGTGGAATAGTATCGATAGACTATCACAAAAAGGTGAATCGAAGTGGAGGAGTTACTCACTTCATCTGGTTCTGCTACTTTTACATGGAGCTGTTCATGAAGAGTGGAATTCGAGTTGTTACTATTAAGGTCTCGGAACTCTTCTGACGCTCTGAGCTTGCTGAAAGTTTAGATTTGAGAATCCGCAAAAACTCATTCCTTACATAGACGAACTTCAAACTCAGACGACAAAGGGGAGATGCTTTGTAGGGATAGCTTTGCATTCCTTTATACAAAAGTCTATGTATACATGAAAAATGAGGAAGCCGTAAAGAAATCCTGGTGCTCTAATCCACGGCAGAAAGACAGGCTTTTGCTGACTGCATCCCTACAGCGCCGTAAGAGTCTTCTATTTAATGCGTGGTCACGGAGGGTTGATATCTTCTCCCCGAAAATCGCGTCGCACCCATTCTCGTGCTCTTAAGGGAAAGATCGGTATTCGCACTGGAAGGACACGGTGGCCGCCACAGAACCACTGCCGCTTGCCGTGGGTATCCGGGGAGAAGCACCGCCACCTAGACAGGGTGATGTTGAAAGCGAAAGGTAATAGGGGGACTAGCGCCAAGCCATCAATGTCCACAGAGCTCGAAAGCAGCCTCTGCGGTCGTTGCCAACCCAGTGCCCAGAGCATGTTGCTGAGAGATGGTTTGTGCTTAAAGAAGTTGCGTAAGCTGTAATGAGCTATTGCGGATCGCATACTTGTGGAAACACTAAGTCGCTGGGAGGGTACAGTGGGCTGGCGATCATCACAACACATAGACTCCACGACCCAGTTTCCGGCAATCACACCTGAAGCTGAGGATTTTACGTTTCACTGCTTACTTTTCTTCGACTTCGCCAACTGTGAATGACATTCAAGCCCAAAAAGCTACGCTCAGCACTTATGGCTCCTCTTGGCTCACATTGGTAGAAGGAATTCGAAAGAAAAGTTGAATTGGTTCTTCATGAGTTTCATTGTAAAATACAAAACAAAAAAATACTCTGGAATGTGGTGACCAGCAGTGAGCAACTCGACATTTCTCTTCGTTGCTGGCATATCCAAGTAAAGCAACATTATCCTTGCCATCTCAATAGGACTGAGAATAGCACTTCCATTATAGCTGGAATGGAATCAGTAAAAGCGTTGACCATGGGACAGCTATGGGAAATAAATCAACCTACTTCTCATAATATTCCTGATAAGAGGGTAAGCAAAATCCGAACACGTGGATAACTGGATAGATCAGCACTTGGCACTGTAACACCATCTTACAGGGTGTGCTAATGTAGTTGTCACAAAATGTTCAAACATGGCAGATAGGTGAAGTCAGACAATGAAGCCTTCGAATATCCCATACTTCAATACTAATAATAATTAAGCCGCAGCTGTTCTGTAGGCCCTTTGATTCAATTGATATCTTGTTCATTTTGACCAGCGCGCGGGAAATGGGAATACATAAGCGTCGTCACTATCATTACGGAATCACTTCGTTGTGTTGCGGCACCACGCCGTCTTTTTCTTATTTGATTTGTTATTTTGTGTCGTTCGATAAAGAGTTTTTATTGTGGTATTGCTGACTCCTGTTTGAGGTCCGGCCAGAACTACTTGTCGTACTTGCGTCATTCCGTTACATGGGGGCCAGGCCGCCTCAAACGAGACAGCCAGTTTTACTATGAAGCCCTGCATCCCGTACGAGACGGTTGAAAGCAGGTGAATCCAACCATAGGAAAGGCTAACTCAGTTACATAGTGTAACTGTGGAGTGAAGTTTGTGGAGCACAGGGTTAATAGAAAACAGTCCAACTACCCGTGTGTAGTTGTCGAAAGCGAACGGCGCGATTTAAGTGGATATTACTCCAACTACTCGTTGGTAGTTGTTGTTCAAAAGGAACACTTTGCAACTTCAACTGAATGGTTGTTATAGTGTTGTGGTAACAGTGTCTCGATTCTGATCTGATTTATTCGTATAATCCGCGAGATTACTAGCGTCGTGTTGATAGCGAATAAACGTGGGACAATTTTTGAGTTTGTAGATATGCATTCTCCAGTTAGTTCGAAGAGATCACTGCATACGTCGGTGAGAATTACAGAGGCCCCGGATGACATGGAAATGGAGGAAGCCAGAGCAGGCTCTGGGGTGAGTCCTCACAAGGAGTTCGATAAGCTGACCCGTAAAGTCATGACGCTTCTACCCACAATAGCGATCAAGTGTGACAACGAGTTGTCCAAGACAA